GGTGCAAATTACTGACCTCTGTCATCATTTTAAGTGGGGGAACTTGCACAATCGGTGGCTGACTAAATACTTTTTTGCCCCACTGTACATATATGAAGTGCTATACTGAGTGAAATTGAGACAGATATAAAACAACCGATGATCATGTCTTAATGATAAATTTCAATCACCAAAGATGAAACATGGACTTCTTGAACAGGTTGTTCCAGCCAGTGTGTTTTATAATTTATGCAATAGTTCCATTGCTCCGAAAGGCACCAACACCACAAACATGGTCAACAGGTCAAGTTTGGTGATCTGAATTATCAAAGATGAGGCTTAGCAGAACGCTATCAGCTGCAGCTGTTGCCCATGTTAGCAAAACAGCTATCATTTATAAAGTGAAGACGGTATTTTATCCAGCTCCTTTATTCACCATAACCTGACACAACCGTAAAGGGATTTGTCTCCTTCCAGGATTGAACTGAGAAACTGTGCTAATTAGACAAATGTGTATATTATTATACCACTAAATATTTACCACACACAGTTTTTAAGAAAAAGCATTTTTTATATCAGGGTGTCAACATGCTTTTTTTTAAAATTGCTGTTAAATTGAGTTTTTACCCAGGACTGAAGAGAAACCAAGGGGCAAGGGGCAGGAAGAAGAATCACCAGCACCATTATAGTCTGGGAACACGGGGCCCAGGGGCCCAGGGGCCCAAAGTTTAATCAGAGCCCAGAGCGTCCCAGCAGATCATCATATGCATCAAGATGATCAAAATGATTCAAATCACCTGTCAGCTGTATTGCGGTTGAGCAGTGTGTCGTTTATATGTATGATACTGTAAAATATAAATCCATGATATATGGCTTTACAGAGTGTTTCCTGTCGGTTTGAGTTTACAACTCACATCTTTAACGTTTCGCTTTCACCACTCACATGAACATTATTTTACTGGGCAGAAAGCAGCTGCTGAAGATTGTGCTGAATCAGGTTGACGAAGAGTGTGATTGGTTTAGCAGACGTTCACCCCTCCAGAGAAACGAAAACGTTCCTCCTTGTCTAAAATGTGCACATCGTCAGATTTGTTAGGTAATAAAACATCGCTGTTGGAAATGTGTAACAATAAAAAACTATAATGGAGAACAAAATGAGCTCATCATCTGTTCCCTAGTTGTGCTGCCACCTTCGATCGTGTTACATGATCTTCATCAGTTTGCCCGGCTGTCACAGAAATGTGCTGTAGATGCTCTGCATTGTTGTTTTGAAGCTTTGGAAACTCCTTGTCCACAAATACATCTTGAAGTGAGATTATTTGTGTGGGATTAACTGCTGTTTACAAAGTCAAGAATGAACTTTGATGCTTGAGATCTGCATATATCTTTTACAGACTTGCGTAAATATTAAAAGAAAAAGAATCATTTATGGTAGGTGGTGTTTTTAATGATATTTCTCTCTTTTTTTGTCGCCAGCTTTTTACCATTCAGAAGGTTTTGGGGCCACTTCCTGCAGAACAGATGAAACTCTTCTACAACAACCCTCGATTTCATGGAATCAGGGTACAAAATACTAACTGTGCTTGAATTCTTCTCTACTTTTTCATCTCCTTTCTCCTCGCCCTCCTCTTCTGTTTTGTTTTTTTTTTTTTACCTCCTTTCCTTCTATCTCAGCTTTGTGTCAAATCTCTCTCTCTTTTGTGGCAGTGTTCCCAGCACCATGACTGAGTGGATTGCTATGACTCATGAGATAGGTGGTTGGTGTTCAGTTTAGCAGCAAGAGAAAATGCCCCAGAGGGACGATCAGGACTTGTGTGTGTGCTTGTGTGTATGCGCACGCTTTGTAGTTTGTTCAGCGTGATCCGCTGATAGATTTCTGTGTGATTTGAAGTGAGAGCTCCTTTTTGTTTGTTTTTTTACTGGCAGCTACATAAACTGTGCATTGGAAATCGTAATAGTAGTCTTTAATGCACAGAAAGTTTGCGTTGGTTATGAATTTGATCCAGTGTTTGTGTCTTTGTGCTTCTGCCAGTTTCCATCAGTTACTCATCCTCAGACTTTGGAGAGACGTTACCAAGGCATCTTGAGTGGTTTGATGTTGGATTTGATGAAGGTAAAATGCCAAGAAACATTCCAACTCTCACACAAGAATAAGAATTATTGATTAGACTGCTCTATCGTATATGAAACCTGAGACAGGGGTCACTAAAATGCATCATTCCCTTTACGTGCATGTCTTTTTCCAATCAGAATCTGTTGCTGCTCAACCCTACTGAGCGTTACCTAACAGAGCAGAGTTTGAACCATCCAGCCTTCCAGCCTCTGAGGCAGGCAGAGAGAGAGAGGCCTCCGCCTGCTTCTCCCAACCCGCCACGCTCCTCCAAGAGAAAAACACACCATCATGGAGAAAACACGGTTCCTACAAGGTTAGACAGCAATCCTTTATTTCAGGCTTCTGTCTACATGCGGTCATCTTACAAAGCCCCGTTTGGATGTCTCTGTGTTAACACTGGAACTAATGCTGTGTTATAGTGACGGACTTTTCATCACATCTAATGTCAGATACTGTTTGTATCTGATTACATCAAGATTTAGTGTTTCTTTGTTTTTTTAAAACCAATGCCGTTTTAGTGTTTTTGTTTGTTTGTTTGTTTGTTTGTTTGTTTTTTTCATTTTAATATCCCAGCCCAAGTTGAAAGCTGCAAAACCAGTTTAGCTCACTGAGTTGAGCAGGCAACCACATGCAGTGTTAATTTATGCACAACTCTCTTTAGTTCCTGCATTCATTTTTCAGCCATTCTGCTGAAGATTTGCTGCTGTGCTTGTGGTCGTTGTCATGTTGGTTGACCAGGTTTGCATCGGGCTATCAGACCTCAGGTTTGACTCCTGATTACTTTAGTATACAGAGGAGTTCATGGTTGTTAAGACTGTAAAACAAGCTCAACAAGCACAAATCATCACCACTACACCACCGTGCTTGACAGTTAGCATAAAGTGCGTTTGGTTTTCGTCAAATGTGGCGTTGTGTGTAACGACTAAACATCTCCACTTCGTTCTTCTCTGTCCAAAGGACATTGCTTCAGAGGTCTTTGTTTAGATGCGACGTTTCAAAGCAAAGCTGTGCTGCCGTGTTATTTTTCGAGACAGGAACCTCGATCTTGGGGGTGGCT